GGTCTTGGTGTAGGCCTCTTTTGGAAGGGGGCGGTGGGGGGGGGAGGGGGGGGGAGGGGGGGGGCTCGACGGGAGAGGCACAGAGGAGGAGTATCGGGTGCACCTCAGACGGCGAGAGGCACTCTGGCGCCGCCTCGCCTCCTCCCTTCCCCCCTCCACCCCACGAGACACCTCCAAGGCACGAGCTATCGGGGGGCGGAGCAGCCGGCGAGGGGGAGAGGAGCGGCGGCGGAGTCGGAGGGTAGGACGGCCACGGCGGCCAGTCAGGCCACGGGGGCGGAGGGGGCGGCGGCGGCGGCGAGGAGGGGGGCGGCGGCGAGGGCGGAGGCTGCGTGGGCGGCGGCGGCAGCGGCGAAGGCGGCGGCGGCGGCGGCGGCAGTGGCGGCGGGTCGCGAGGGCATGGGTCGTAGGGAGGAGTTCCGCAGAAGCGGCAACACTTCTTGCTGTCGGCGCCGCAGCCGAGACCGCCGTGGCTGCAGGTGCTGTCAAAGGCGCAGAGCGGCTGCGGCGCGGCGCATGAGCACTCGTGTGGGTCGACGGCCGAGCAGTCGAAGGGCGGCGGCGCCGGCGGCGACGGGCACGCTCGGAATTTTCCCGCAGTGTCCCCGCAGAAGCGACAGGTCGTGGTGCCGTCGGCGCCGCAGCCGAGGCCGTCGACGGACTGGTCCAGGCAGGATGGGTCGGCGAAGCAGCGGGGGGTCGAGCAGGAGCAGCTGGCCGCTTTCATGGGTCTGGCCAGTGGTTGTTTAAAAAGAGCCCCCAAAAACCCCGGGAGCGCCGAGGCGCGCTGCCAAAAAAACACTTGCCTGCCTGGCTTCGCAAGCACGGGGAGGGCCACGTGGTCGGACTCACCACCGATGACGCAGACGGCAACAGGTTCGTCAAGTACCCGCCGGCGCCTAAGCCTTGCGGCGGCGACTAGTCGGGTGTGTGTGTGTATGTGTGTCGGCACTCGATGCCATGCCGGTCGTTCACGCCCGGTCGGCGCTGCTACGGTATTGGGTAACTATAGCTGACCCGCGTACTCCACCCTCTACTCTGCGGCCCCTCTCGAGATCCCTCGCATGTTTAGCTCCAAGGAGCAAGGACCAAGGTCAGTTAGAACGGCGGAGCAACCACCACCTCTCTCAACCTCTCTCACCGCACGACGCCCCCTCCCCCCCCTCCCCCCAATGCCGCACCCCACCCTCAAAACCTCGTGTAGTAGCTGTCGTGGCTCACCGCAACCTCCCGCTGCGGCAGCGTCCGCGCCGCGCCCGGGCGGAAGGGGGAGACCTCCGCCGCGTCCTCGAACGAGCTGCCCGCGGCGTCGCTGTGCCCGGTCGAGTTTCGCGTCACGCCGATGATCTCGTGGTGCTCGCGAAGCTGCGGCGGTGCGGCGGTGCGGCGGGACGTGAGGCTGCCGTTGCGTGTGTCGGGGGACGGGTCGCGAGTTTGGGAGTCAGTCAGTGATGTGGTGAGAGGCGGCGAGGTGGTGAGGTGGCGAGGTGGGTCAACGAGACGTGCGAATGAATGGTCACAGACCGCGGGGCTCGGGGCAGGGCACGGATGAGCCTGCGTGGCGATGCGCGAGAGATGAAAGGACTTGTGCCGCTTGCCGTCTCGCCCCTTTGCCTGCCGCACCATCCGCCGCGTGTTGCGGACGGCGATGAAGTTCCCTGCGATGGCGATGGCGACGACGGCCGCCGAGACCGAGGCGGCGCGGTTGCACACGTCCTCGGCACGGTCGCCACCGTGGTTCTCGTCCTTGTAGTCGCACATCGTAAAGAGGAGCGACATAGCCGCGACGATGAGCGACAGCAACGAGATAATGTAGCATACGACGACGAGACTCATGCGCGAGCGCACCGCTACCGCCGCCACCTTTACGGCGGTCGTCATTGCTAGTCTCTCTGATGCGAGCATCAAGTGCGATGCAAACGCGACCACCGAAAGCGCTGAGACCATCCCGACCGTCGAGGCGACGACAAATGTTCCGGAGGTGAGCGGCATGTCTGACCACGGGAGCACGCCGAGGTTGTCGGCGCTGAAGGACGCAAAGGCAAAACCGAGGATGATGGCGGCCTGCTGCGAGTAGTTGGTACACTGTTCGAGCCAGAACTGCATTTCGCGCCACTGAAGGGAGGCGTCACGAAAGTGGCCCTCCTTTCGCATCCGCGTGGCCTCCTCTTGCAGCATGCTGCGAGCGTGAGCGACGTGAGAGTGAGCCCGTCGGGAAGCGAAAGAATTCAACGAAAAGAAATCTCTCTCCCCGCACACAGGTTCGAAGCGAAAGAATTTACGGAAAAACCCTCGCTCGCACGAAGCGAAAGAATTTAAACAAAACAACTCTCTCTCACAGCACAAAGAAGCGAAAGAAAAAGAAAAGACATTCCCTGACGTATATGTCAGCGGATCGTCGGCTCGTCGAGGTTGGAGAAGATGAGGGGGGAACGAGGAGAGGGGTGTGGGCGGTCGGCGATGGGGTAAAGCAACAGGGCGTAGGTAGGTAGGCACACACACACGGTAGGTAGGAAGGTGAAGAACAGCCAGGCTCGGACTGGACGTATGGGGTAGTCGTCACCTTCCTGCCTCGAAAGGGCGGGGCTGTCCCGGAAAGTGAGAAACGCCGGGCAGCGTGGCGCACAACTGAACCCTCCCATACGTGTTTGTGCTCCTCCTTCGCTGTCCCATCTCCTCATCTCTTTCCCGCCTGGGCGGGGCGGTGGGCGGGCGCGCGGTGCAGTGCGGCGTGTGTGTGCGAGTGACTGCTACCAGGGACCATTGGCTTGTATTAACAACGAAGAGAAGACATCCTTATCAGCTGGTCGGCCGCCATTCGGGCCTCCCGGCCTGCTGCGGCGGCGCGGCCGGTTGAGGCCGGGCTCGGCCCGGCCCGCGACGGCTGGCCGCCGACGAGCGCGCTCGCGCTGCTCGTCAAAATAGCGGCGGTGGCGATTGCGGCGACGGTCGTTCAGTCGTACAGCGCTCAGTCGTCTGTCGTCTGTCGTCTGTTGTCGCATTTCGCACACGCGCGCGCCGCGCGACCCGCGTCGCTCCGCGAGGGCATGAGCCTTCCGCGATTCGATCCCGCAGCCAAAAGCTGCTCGCTCGCGGCCGACCTCCGCCATCGCGGCCGCAGCTGTTGAGCTCTCCAGAAGACGGGTGCCTCATATGCTGCCTCCCTGCGGATGCTGCCGGCGAGCCTGGCGGTCCGCTGTACTACAAGGAAGTGTTGACTCGATGCCCACTCGAATTCTTCTACCCCCACGACTCGGAGCGCGAATGTGACAGGACCATCGGGTCCTTCGGCCACCAAAGCGAGATCACCCGAGAGCAGCTGAGCCTGCCTCTGGCCTCGCCTCCCTCTCCTTCAGGCATTCGTCCCCCCTAACCGCGTCGAACTCATCGGCGCGGGCTCTCTCGGCTACGGGACCGGCCCCAGCTTCGGCTGAGGGCTGACAAGCTGCCGAGCCCAAATCTCTGTGACAGTCGTGATTTCTTGTAGTTGGTCTTCAAAAATCTCTCTCTCTTAACAACGAAAGCTCTCTCAATAACAGCAAATAAAAACGAGGGCACCAACAAGCAGGAAGGAGGGCGCCAGGCCTGCGCCTGTATTAAGTGTTTTGCCCGTATTTATTTGCCCGTATTTAGCGCCTGCAGACGAACTTTGCGTGAGAGAGTCCCCTTGTTTGCTTGCAAGACTGACGGGCCCGCCAGTAACTAGGCCGTTGAGTCTTGAGAGTGTGCACGACGCGGTGCAATGGCCCGGTTAGTATTTCTTTTCTGCGTCTAAGACGCCGTGAGAAAAATCGCCGCGAAAAACGAGCTCGTGGACGACGGCTCAGCAACCAAGGTCTCGCGCTGCTTGGCGGCTCAGCCTCATGGACCTCCAGTTCTCCTTTGACGAGGACAGGACTGCGCGGGAAGCCAAGTGCAGCTCTGTCTCACTGCCCGTCGTCAAGGCTGTGCGCCTGCGTACCCCACGACAGCGGCAACGCTCAGCCCGCGGTGTTGTGCTCCCTTGCTCACTGTGCGCCAGCATGAGCAGGAGGGCGCCAGGCCTGCGCCTGCAGACGATCTTTGAGTGAGAGATCCGCCTTGTTCCTGGGGGCCGTTAAGTCTTAAAGTGTGTGCACGACGCGGTGCACGAGGGCGATTTCTGGTTCCAGGACGCTTGTACGTATCAAGGAGAGCGTACTCCGTGCGGCGAGATTCCGGTGGCACCGTGATCGCGGCAAAGAGATAGAGAGCAGAGAGGCCAGAGCGTACGGGGGGGGGGGGGGGGGAGGAGAGCGAGAGCGCGCGGCGCGGCGCGAAGACGGGAAGGATAGAGGGCTCGCCCGCACCCCGCAGCTGCGTGGAATGCTTTTGTATCATTGAAATGGTTGACGAGATAACACCTCTACTTGACAGAACGCGCATGCATGGTTCGAGGCATTGCTTGAACGTACGAGCTAGCGCAGCTCTACGACGTACACACGACACCTAGGTTCCTAGCACCTACGAGCGCCGCGGGGCGGCCCCGGGGCGAGAGCCGAGGCCCGAGCGAGATGCGAGAGGACCGAGGTGGCAGGTGTGCAGGTCCAGGTGGCCTGAGAGAGACTCCTGTTCCTCGCGGGGCGCCGGAATCAGGTGTCTCGGCTTTCGATCGCTCGATTCTCGTATCTGTCTCGCTCGACGATATCTCGAGTCAAGCCTGCTCGAGAGACGAGAGCCGAGCGAGGCTATTCCCGGATCCCGCGCTCTAGATTTCCAGCTCCTCTGACACCTCCGCCTCCTCATCCAGTAATGCAGTGTGCGCGAGAGGCGGCGCAGCAGCAGCGTCGCCTCCGCCGTGCTGCTCCCCCGCCGCCCCTTCCTCCCTCCGCTCCGGCTCTCTGTCGACATGGCTTCCCGCGACACTGACGATGGTCTCGGCCGCCACCACCTTGTCCTGCACCAGCGCCGATACGCGAGCGTAGTCCTCCTCCGTCAGCGCTACCGCCCGGGCCTCGGTAGCGCTCCCCGCTGCGATCGCCCACTCAAAGTACGCCCGTCGCTTCTCCTCATCGCCGAGGGCATTCTCAGAAGCGCCGCTTAGGCGGAAACCCTTCTCCACGCACATGATTGCCTCGCGAATCTCCCTACCCGCATCGAGGGTTTCTCGTTCAGACCCATCGAGAGCCTGCGCGTACTTGGCGATCACCGCGCCGAGCCCCTTGCCGAATCGTTGCACTACGGCTCTAGTCGTCGCTTCCCCGGAGCAGGTCGCGTTGTATCCTTCGATCGCGGCGATGTCCGTCGCGACCGCCTCTGCCAGTGGCTGGTACGGCGGCGACGGGCGCGGCGATGGGCGCGGCGGCATCGGCGGCGGAAGTTCTGGCGGAGTCAGGGGCGGGAGCGGTGCTTGGATGGCCACGAAAGAGGTTTAGGCGCTCCGCCTCCCTCCCTCCCCTTGTCTGTCTGTCGCCTCCCTCAACATATCTATCAGTACTGTCTGACTGTCTGCCCGGCAGAAAATGTATGTGGGGTGAGCGTGTCGGTTGTGTGGTCGGTGCGTGAACAACGGGTTTCAAAATCGGAGCCTGCGGTCCTCAAAATCCCCCATTGGAGCTCATTGTCGCGTTCGCCGTCGTTCGGGTTATATTCGTCAACGACCAGACGTTACACCACCGTGCTGAAAATGTCCGTCCTGCGCGCGACCCTCCTCCTCGCCTACGCGCCCGCGCTGGCGCTCGCAACCGCATGCGCGGCCGCCGATATCTGCTCAGGTCTTTCGTCCGCGTCAGACTACAGCGGCACCACAGTGTACGGCGAGGTGTGCGTTGACTCGAGCAATGAGTACCTTTCCGCCTATGACTCATTCGGCTGTGATTTTCTTGGTGGCACGTACTTGACGGGCGCTACTTGCGACGAAATGGCGACCTATGTCGGCAACACACAATTTGCCTTTTGTTCGGTCATCGAGACAATGGCATGGGCTGATTCAAGCTATACCTCGTGCTGCGGCGGCAGCTCCCTTGAAGATGATGTGGTCGCGGCTGCCGGCCTCGGCCTCGGGATCCTCCTCGCCATCATCATCGGGGTGATCCTTGCTACCGTGGGCGGCATCATCGGCTGCGTGTGCTGCTGCAAGCAGCAGAAGACTTGCTGCTTCGCCGAACCCAACAAGGCGACTCCGGAGGCATGAGAGCTTTGCATCTAAGGGTAACGCGGGCGCGCTCTCAAGCTCACGTGTGCTTGAACGGAGGCCAGCCCAGGGCGTGACGTGGAATCCCCCGCCCCCGCCTTCCGTGTCGACAGCCGAGGGGCCAAGGGTGTGCATGTCTGTGCTGGTCCGGGGGGTCGGTGGACGGTGGAGTGTCTGCCGGTTTTTCATTTTTGGCTTTGGGATCGTGGTGGTGGCTGGTGGCCGTGCGAGAGCCGCCGCCTCAGGGAATAGTCTACGCCTGAGTTGCATCGGAGTATGTGCATGTGTTTGTTATTATGTCAGTTGTGGAAAGGCCCACCCACGGTGCCTTCATGGCATAAATGCGAGACACTCGACAGCGCGATGTGAACGCGTCACTACCGGCACGCCCGTAGCAGCAACACATTAGCACATCAACATCATAGAGCAGTCCCGTGGACCGATTTGCGTCATCCAATAGAGCCGTACTCAAGAGCCCGCTTGAGCCGTGTTCTAAATCGCGCTGTGGGCGATGCGAACCCCCTGGGGTACGAAGGGACACGGCCGCGCCGCGCTAGGGCAGGCTGAGCCAGCCGGCGGCGGCCGCGAGGAGGCCCGCCGCGGCTGCGGCGAGAGAGAGGCCGACCGCAGCGACGAGCCAGCTGCGGCGCCGCTGCTTCGCCCCGGAGTCGCCGAGCAAGCCGCCCCGGAGTCCCGGCTTGGCGTAGCCCTTTGCGTCCTCCTCCTCGCCGCAGGCCGCCGCCACGCCACCCGCCGCGCCGCCGCCGCGCCGCCGCACGCCGCCGCCCTGAGACCACTCCTCCGCCCCTCGCCGCTCGGCCGCCATCGCCTCCTCCTCCTCCTCGAGGTCGGCGACGTACCTGCGCACGTCCCACGCGAGCGCGCGCCGCTCGTCCCCGTCCGCCTTCTCCCACAGGGTCCGCATCTCGGCGGCGTCCTCGGCGCTCACCTTGACGAGCAAGTCGGACCAGACTGCGAGCAACTCCTCTCCGCTGGGCTGCCACAACTCAAAGCTCCGCTGCTCCTCGGCCTCCCCGTCGAGCAAGTAGCGGCGCACCGCTAGCAGCGAGCCCCACTGCTCTTCGGGCGGCAAGCCGTCGAGCTCGTCCTCGAGCGCTGGCAGGTCCGCCTCGTTGCACAACTCGCCCACCTCCACCCACAACTCGGCCAGCGCCTGCTCGCCAAGATAGGGCGGCTGCTCGCCCGCCAGCTCCTCGCCCGCCGCGGCCACGCGGCGCAGCTGCTGCCCAGGAGGCGCGCCCTCGGCCAAACCCTCCTCCCCTCCCTCCGCCCCCAGCTCCTCGCCTCCCGACTCCAGCCACTCGAGGAGGTCGAGCAGCACGCGGCCCCGCTCCTGCACGTCCCTTTCAGAATGTGGGTCGCGCAGCTCTTCGAGCAGCTCCTGGAGCTCCTGCCGCGCGTCCACGTCCGAGTACAGCAGCTCGTTGTTTTCGGCGAGCGCCTCGGCGGCCTCGAGCATCTCGGACACCTCGCCCTCGCTGAAGGGCCGCTCCTCCGAGTCACTCAGCGGTGGCGTGGCGGTGGATTCGTCCGGAGCTCCGCTCATTGTGTTGGCGGGGGAGAGCATGCGTGAAGGCGTGCTTTTGTGGGCAGCGCGCAAACGTTGATTTCTCATGTGTGTGCCGTAGGTATATTGTTGGCAAATCAAGACACAGAGCTCACACAGAATCACAGCGGGAGGAAAGCGGCGAGTCGCAATTCCTGGGGTCCTTGTGGCGGGCCACCCTGTCCAGAGAGGCATGGATGCCAATCTGGGGTCTCTCGACCGAGTCTATGAAGCCCTGGCCGCCTCCCGGTGGTGGCAGAGGTTATGGAACCAAGCGACGGAGATGGTGCGGGGGTACGGGTGTTCCAGGGGGTCACGACACGCACCGACCCTTCACGAACCGAAAGGCTGCACCCGGGGAAGGCACAGTAATCCGGGCACGTGTTGGGCGCCCCATTCCGTTTAGGGCTAGGTCGGCTCAGGGCCCCGTCCACTTCCCTCCCACTTGGCGCGTGATGATGAGGAGATGCCACCCAGGCCGGCCAGGGCAAGGGCGGAGGGCGAGAGCGGAGGGCGGAGGGCTGAGCCGGACGCAGCGCCGCTCGCGCTGCGCGCGCCAAGGATACAGCGGCCTCGGCCGCGAGGGAGGCGCCAGTCGGGCGCGTCGGCCGTGCCACTGCGCAATGTGCTGCCGCGCACTTACGACGCCGTCAACGAGCTCCTCTTCGCGCTCTCAGAGCGCCATCCGCTCTCCATCCGGTGCGGGCTGGCCGCACACTTCTCTCCTCCCTCCTCTCTCCTCGCTACCCTCCCCTCGCCCAGGCTCGCCTCATGAGTGGCCGCGGTTGTCGCCGGTGCTCGCCCGCGACGCGTCGCTCCGTCCCACGTCGCAGGCCAGGCAAACAGGACTGGCTCGTCGACGGGAGTGCCAACGTGCGGATACCACACACAGGGCTTTCGACTCGTGATGCCTATCGTGTGCTGCTAGAGGAATGGGGAGCGCGCCAGCGGGGCTCGCTTTTTTCTAGGAGCAACAACATCGCCATTCGATTGCTATATTTTTCAAGCCCCCTGTACGAGAACCGTGCCGACCTGGAGCCACTTGCCGCGCGTGCCCCGCCCGGTGACACAAGTGCTCCATTCTCAGCTGTGGGCGCGGCCGTGTGCGCGCGCGTGGAGGCACGCATGGAACGTGCAAAGCGACTGCGCATCAAGACGCGGCGGGAGAGAGTGTAGTGCAAAATCATCGCAGTCACGCGATCACGGATACGTGTGTGCACAAAAAAAGCACAGGCGGACACTACATGCACAAGTGACCGTAATGGCCGTCGCGAACGGAACGACACGCGAGCCCGGACGCAAGCGTGCGCGTGTCGTCCCGCCACGCTGCGGCGAAAACTCGGCTGGCGCAGTAATCGCCGCAGTAATCGCCGCTCCACGACCGGGCGGCCTCGTCTCTTGACGGGGAAGAGCCGCCTGCCGGTCGAGAGTGGGCGATGAGGCGAGAGCGAGAGACGCGCGCACGCGGCGGCGCGCGCACGCGGCGCGCGGGTCCGCACAGGAGCGCGTGACAGCGACGGCGCCCTCGCTCCGGTACCTGCGAGGCACAGGTATCGTTGGTGCGTGCTGCCGTGCCGCTGCGGCGACGAGGGCCGCCGCTATCCGCTGCAGGCGCGCCGTGACGGTGCCGAGGCGGGCCAGGCAAGCGTGGCGCGGTGACGGGAGGGCGGGCGGTGGATCGGGGCGGCTCTGGGTCGCGCGGCGGGGCGGCGGCTCGCACGGGCGACGGCGAGAGAGGCGCACCGGAGAGCGGTATCAAAGCTCGAAGATAACACTTGAACTGGCCGCTGTCGAGCTGGCCGGGCGTGCCTCGGACGCCCAACTATCGGATGGACCGGCCTCTACCCGCGCCCCGGCGACGTGCCACCTGCGAAAGCGGCGCAAAGGCGGTGTCGTCCGAAAGGCGCTTGCGCGGCTGTTGCGCAGGCCGCGGTGCGTCCTGACGCGGACTGTGCGTGCTCCGTGGCGGGTGCGTGGTACGAGGCGGGCACTCGAGCTTACCTGGGGCAATTTCCGTCACATGCGGGCGCGTGCGGGCGGCCGCAAGCTCACCGTCCACTCAAAAGCCTCCATCGCGCTCAACCCAGGTATTCCCAGACTGCTTGTCGTGCCAGTTGTAGGTATATTGTTGGCAAATCAAGACACAGAGCTCACACAGAATCACAGCGGGAGGAAAGCGGCGAGTCGCAATTCCAGGGGTCGTTGTGGCGGGCCACCCTGTCCAGAGAGGCATGGATGCCATTCTGGGGTCTCTCGACCGAGTCTATGAGCCCTGGCCGCCTCCCGATCTTGGTGGTAAGGCCGCAGCCGAAGAGGGCGACGGAGATGGCGCGGGAGAGTACGGGTGTTCCAGGGGATCACGACACGCACCGACCCTTCACGAGCCGAAAGGCTGCACCCGGGGAAGGCACAGTAATCCGGGCACGTGTTGGGCGCCCCATTCCGTTTAGGGCTAGGTCGGCTCAGGGCCCCGTCCACCTCCCTCCCACTTGGCGCGTGATAATGGGGAGATGCCACCCAGGCCAGCTAGGGCACCCTTCCCCGCGGCCCAACCCGTCCTTCAAGGCTTCGGCCACCGAGGCTTCGGCCACCGAGGCTTCGGCCACCGAGGCTTCGGCCAACGAGGCTTCGGCCAACGAAAAAAAATCCTCGCCCACCGCCCGCCCTTGCCTCCGCCCAGCCCTCCGCCCTCCGCTCTCGCCCTCCGCCCTTGCCCTGGCCGGCCTGGGTGGCATCTCTTCATCTTCACGCGCCAAGTGGGAGGGAAGTGGACGGGGCCCTGAGCCGACCTAGCCGCCATACGGAATGGGGCGCCCAACACGTGCCCGGATTACCGTGCACGGCCTTTCGGTTCGTGAAGGGTCGGTGCGTGTCGTGCCCCCCTCGGCCTTGGTGAGCAGTCACATCCGTGCTCCCCGCCATCTCCATCGCCTGGTCTGCGAATGCTTATCAGCCACGAAAGGAGAGCGTGGCCGAGGGCTGCATAGACTCGATCGCAAGATCCCAGAAAGGCACCTCCGCCTCTGGACAGGGTGGCCCGCACTAATCGACAAACAACATTGGTATTGCTAAAAATCTCTCTCTCTAATCGACCCCTGTTAAGTGACTCGTTCGCTTACCACCCACTGTGATTTTGTGTGAGCTCTGTGTCTTCCTTTGCCAACAACATATTGGGCTGAACAAGCTTTTCCGGCAAACAAAAAGGAAAACAGAGGGTCCCCAGCACTTTGCGTTTCCGGAAATTTCCAGGGAAAACAGAGGGTGTTTGGTGCTCCATTCTGGAAACTCGCGAGTTTCCCTGAATCTGAGAGCTGGTCTGGGGCAAAATCTGAGGGAAAATTGAGGAAATCGGCACGATACCCAGGCGGTCGCAGGCAGGGTATTGTCCAGGTATACCCGGGGTTTTTCCAGGTATACCCGCAAAATACCAGGTATTTTGCCGATTTGGCTGATTTTGGGCCCAAACCAGCCTCAGACTCGGCTCAGAGCCCGGAAAATTTGATGGTTTCCCCGGGAAAATAGAGACGAAAAGAGAGGGCACGAGGACGAGGCGAGCTGGTCGACGCGGTCGTGGCTGTCGCTGCAGGCCCAGCGCACATGTCAGTCGCGCTGCAGCTCGCGGCGGCGGAAGAGATTGCGACCGTGCTCAGGCTCGCCGCGGCGTCGGAGGACGCCGCCGTCGCCTAGACTCCCCTGCGTCACTACGTGCCTCCCCGTCTTTGTAGCCTGGCGTTTGTGCCCCGTTTGTGCCGCGTCCCGTGCCCCCGAGTTCATTTTGTAACTATAGCGTGTGAAAAAAAAGAAAAGAGCGTGGCTGTAGAGAAAAAAGGAAAGGAAAGGAGACGGGGTGCGAGAGGAAAAGCTTGTTCAGCCCAAACAACATTCCACAACTACAAAGAAACAAACAAAACAGAGAAAAAGCCGATCGCGCACATTAATAATTTACAAGCCGCTAGGATTCTCGCTTTTGGCGGTGGCCCTTGTCGATGAGGTTCAGCTCCTCGCCGACGCTGCGACGCCTCCCGGCCCAATCGCGGCCTCTCGGAGTCTCTCTCCTGTCTCAATCGCGGAGACGCTGCTCGAGAGCATCCACCTCCGCCTCCGCCTCCGCCTCTGCCACCGCCTCCTCCTCTGCCACCGCCTCCTCCGTGAGCTTCCGTGAGCGTGACATCTGCGCGCCAAAGTGGCCGCGGGGTGACCAGCACTCAGACGCGGAGCTTGGCACTCTCGCCGAGCTGCACTGCGCTCGCGGCGCGAGGGTGAGGGAGTATGAGGTCCTTGCGGTCGTCGAGACGGACAAGGTGAGCGTCGACATAAAGGCTCCAGCAGACGGAGTCGTCCTGCAGGTGTATGTGGCGGAGGGCGAGGTGGTGATGGAGCGACAGCCCGTCTTTCGGCTGAGAGAAGAGGCGGAGCCTGGCGCGGACGAGCAGGCCGCCGGGCGGGAGTGGGCACGGCGGTACGCAAAGAGGCGGGAGGACGAGGTGTGCACTCGCCTCCTCCTCTCCTCGCCTCTTCTCTCTCCTCTCCTCCTCCTCTCCTCTCCTCCTCCTCTCCTCCTCCTCCTCCTCCTCCTCCTCTCCTCCTCTCCTCCTCTCCTCCTCTCCTCCCCTCCTCCCCTCCCCTCCTCCTCCCCTCCTCCCCTCCTCCCCTCCTCCCTCCTCCTCTCCTCCTCTTCTCCTCTTCTGCCAAGGCCCCTTGCCTGCCTCTCCTCACCCCCCCCCCACACACACACACGCTCCGCCCAGGCGGCGGAAGAGGCGCGGCTCTGGGAGCAGCAGCGGCTGCGGCTGCGAAGAGGAGACTGGAAGTGGAGGCGCGACGGCGACGGCGAGGCTGCCGGCTCGCAGCAGCGCCGAGCGACGCAGCGGGAGAGGGCGCAGTGGCAGCAGTGGCGGAGGCAGCAGCAGCGCGCGTGGGCGGGCGCGAGCCGGCAGACTCGCTGGTGGCAGTTTGAGACGGGCGGCGGCGCCGCGCGGGGCGGCAGCGGCGGCAGCGGCGGCAGCGGCGGCGCAGGCGCAGGCGTAGCGGGCGGCGGCACGCAGGGCGGCAGCCAAGGCAGCGGCGGCAGCCCGATTGCGCGCATTTTGGCGGCGAGGACGCCGCACGAGGCGCGTCCTCGAGAGATTGCCGAGAGACAGCCAAGAGAGACAGCCGAGAGAGGCCGCCGAGAGAGGCCGAGGAGAGACTGCCGAGAGGCGGCAGAGATGTGTAGGGCGCTTCGGACTCCCTCCCTCCCCCTCCCCCCTCCCTCGGCTGGTGGGCCCTCTCGTCTCTGCCGCCGGAAAGACGGCGCCCTCGCTGACAAAGAGAGGGCACCCCACCACCGCCTCCGTAGCCCCAGACCCCCTCCCCTGCGGGCGAGGGCCAGGCCCCCGCCCCCTGGGGCCCCCGCCCCTGCACCCCGCCCCCAGGTGAGGGAGAGAGCCGCCCCCTGGAAGCTCAAGCCCCCCCCTCCCTCCCTCCCCCCCCCCCCTCCCCCCTTGGGTCCCTCGCAGGTGCTCGGGCTCCCGCGCTCCGCGAGCGCCGCCGAGGCGAAGCGCGCCTTTACACGCCTCGCGCTGCTCATCCACCCGGACAAGTGCTCGCAGGTGCGGCACCCTCCTCCCCGCGCGATTAGAGAGCTACCGATACCGATGGCACACACACACACACACACGCACACACACACACACACACACACACACACACACACACACACACACACACACACACACACACACACACACACACACACACACAGAGAGAGAGAGAGAGAGAGGTAATCTCGGCTCACCCCTCTACCTCCCCCCCTCTACCTTCCCCCCTCTCGCTCTCGCAGCCCGGCGCGCGTGACGCCTTCATCAGTGCATTGGGTGCCTTTCGGGCGCTCTCCGATAGCGGCGCGCGGCGGCGGCACTGACACGCTTGAAGAACAGTCGCGTGTCCTCGCCGTGCACGCGCCGTGTAGGCACGTCGCATGCTCTATGTCCTGCATTGTCCTCGGGTCTAGACTCTACATGGTCTATGTCCGCAGTCCTCACATTTCTCACTTGCTCACACACGAGCGAGTGACGGATAAAGTCGTGTGAAAGAGCTGTGAAAGCGAAAGTATCGAAATTAATTGCCCGCCGCAGGCGAAGAAAATTTTCAAAAACCCCTACGCCGAAGAAATCGAAGATTTCGGCGGGCGCCCGACGCGGTATGGAGCACGCGCGCTGCCCGGCATGCCTGCAGCATCCAAACGAGACGCACGGCGTCGCTCAGCCGTGTCCACGCGGCTTCGCTCCTGTCCTAACCGGCGCCATCTGGGCGGCTGCTGCGGAGCTGCTGCCGGCGGTGCGGCAACTGGCCGACAGATACAACGCTCAGGGCACCCGCCGGCGATTCACTGGAAAGGAACGAAGGCGCCGCTGTCGGCGATTCACCGCCGTTCGTTCCCGTCTCTCAAGCTGGCTACACCGTCCATGGACGAGGGAGACGTCGCCTCCTCTTTCGTCCCGGGCACTGTTCGCGCCGGAAGGCACCGTACACTGCGAAGTACATTAGCCTTCATCTCTCCTACCGCCGGCCGGGAGTGCAGCTTTCGCCATCGCTGAGTGAGTTTATCCTCGACTTTGGCACCTGCGAAGTAATGAACAACATGCAGTACGTCATATGCAATGGCGCTATGACAGCCCTGCGATGGGCGTCCTCGACGCAGACGAGGCGGAGCTCATCTGCACGGCGCAGATCGCCGACTTTCTCTCTCTCCCTGCGCGAGTGGTTGCGCCACCGTGGATGAGGCATATGGGCTGGGCAGGGGAGTTGGTAGAGGAGGTCGACTGAGGGCACGAGGCCGCCAATCGTCACAGTCTGCTGACTGTCGGTCGCTGACTGGTTGCGCATCGCGCTGGCCGCGCAGCGGCCTTTAGAAAATTTTGGCCGCAGGCCTAGGTTTTGAAAGATCAAGAGAATAAGCGCGGGTGAGGCTTTGAGAAGCTGCCGTTTGCGGCTTCCTAAGTCAATTTTTCGAGAGGAACGTTTTGGCTGAGCTATAACGGCTCCAAAGTCGCGCGATCATCGAGTTTTGAGTCAATAATTATGAAAGGAAAGGGCTGGCGAGAATTATAGCTCAGCCAATCGATTCAGCGTGCTCTGAAACGCCCAAAACCGTCGAGTTTTTCACCGTGGTCCAAACAGAGAGCTTAATATTTTGATTTTCTTGGCCACGGCCACGATTACCCGTCACTCGCTCACACGCACTGGCGAAGGCGATTGTGCTGTGTGTCTCCCGCGAAAGCCGTATCTTACTGCGGCGCTCTCACTCTCTCGCGCCGGGCGCAGCGGCCAGCGCGTGCTGGTGTGGCTCGAGCTTTGCCACTGCCAGCCGCACGCGGCGGTGGTAGGCAGAGCTTGCCGCCCGAGAACCGTGCGAGCCAAGTATCCTGAGCTTGATGCCACTCACTCTCAGGCCGTGCGACATACGTCGTGAACGATGGTGGCTCGCCCGCGAGCTCGAGCCCAGCTTCGTGTGTGGACGCGGCGTGCTGGCATCCAACCTCAAGCGCGACGGGCCAGCGCGCGAGTTTTGAGTTCGGGGCGCGAGCATAATTTTCAGTGTATGTAGCTCTTACGAACATACCCGTAGGTGAACTGCTGACAGGGTTTGCGATGAGGAGCGATCCGAACGTGGTATTCGGGTGATCAGATCACTACCGCCGAAGCGCAAGCGCTTGGAGCAAGGGAACTGCCACGTATGGGTCCCAGACTAGCACCCCACCTCGCGGGCCGACGTTCTGGCCCAGCAAGGCTGCTGCGGAGCACTCGGGGCCGATGTTCTGGCCCAGCGAGGCCGCTGCGGGGCACCCGGCGGCTCGGTTCGCTCATCAGCGCAAACTCGGTCGAGCAGAAAGTAAGGTGTGTGTGTAAAGGCGGCGCGGCACGATAAGGGTCGGCGGTAAGGCGGCGCGGCGGCAGCAGGCGGCAGGCAGGACATCGGACGGCGGGACATACGGCGCGGCGGGCGCGGCACTGTAGGAGCGGCGGTACGGCGGCACGGCGGTAACGGACGGCAGGGGGGGCGGCAGCAATAATATCGTTGGCCGAAGCCTCGTTGGCCGAAGCCTCGGTGGCCGAAGCCTCGGTGGCAGAAGCCTCGGTGGCCGAAGCCTCGGTGGTCGAAGCCTCGGTGGCACGGAGGAAGGAGCGGCACGGTAAGGAACGGTGGCACGACGGCAGACCACAGCGGCGAAGGAACGGCGGAGCATTTCGGGCGGGAGGGTGAGGCGAGGGTGGCGGCGGTTCGGATCACGAGGAGGTACAAGAAAGTCGGGCGCGGGCGGGCGGGGTGGCGGCGAGGCGGCGGGAGGGTGACGGGCGAGGGGGGTGGCGGGTTGGATCACGAGGAGGTAGAAAGTCGGGCGCGGGCGGGCGGGGTGGCGGCGAGGCGGCGGGAGGGTGACGAGGCGAGGTTTTTGAGTTCCGGATTGGATTTGGGCCCTCTTGACTTTTCCATCTCTCTTATGTGAGAGAGAGTTCTTTTGTCTAAACTCTTATGTGTAGAACGCACCTGGAGAATAGACTCGCCTGGGCGTGTCTGGGACTGGGTCAGGACCCGGCTTCCTGGCGACAACCATGCCGTGCGCCTGGACGGCCGCGGAGGACGCTGTGCTCGAGTACTGCCGAGCACGAGCAGCCAAGGGTAAGGGCGACTGGCGCCAGGTCGCGGCGAAGAGGCTGCGATCGAAGAGCCTACGTGCTATTGCACTGCGGGCGCGTGAGCTAACGAAGAACCACACCAACTCGACTCGCGCAGATGCGGACGGCGCGGTCAGCGGCCAAGCACCCAAAGCCATCGAGCATGAGTCATCACAAGAGACCAATGCTGCGCCTGTTCAAATGATGGACTGTGATGTAAGTCCGAGTGATGACGAGTGCTGTGCGATCGAGAGGCGACGTACGGCCACCTGGCTGCTTCCCACGTGGCGACTTCCCGTGGAGCATGAAGCACAGGCGGGTGAGATGAACACAGAGCTCTTGTCGGCACCCGCGCCGTCGACCGGGTTAACCGGATACAAGAAGCACAGCATTCCAAGGAGCTGCAAAAGCCGCGGCTCCAAGGGGCGGCGGCAGGAGGAGGAGAGGCACTGCAGCCTCGCGACGCAGCTCACACGCGAGTACGCAACTGCGTGCATCTTCGGTCGCGAGCGGCGCCGGCCCATGCGCCGCGGCGTGGCTCACCGCGTGGGAGCGGGCGTGTTTCTGTCGTGCGAGGCGAGCTGCCTCGAGGCCGATCCACCGCTCAATCCACCGCTCCCGCCGCCTCCTCCCGCAGCCCCGACCATGTGGGCGTTCGTCAAACCCGTGCTCAAGCCCAGCCGGCTGACGCCGACCGCCAAAGCGCTCGGCGTGGTCTCGCGAGCAGTGCCTGCTCACGAGGCCAAGCAGCTTGGCGCCGTCCCCGGTGAGGCCTCGGCCGCCGAGGAGCAAGGCGTCTGCATCGTTTGCTTTGAAGACGACCCGGGCGTGACGAGGCTGCATGCCGGATGCGGCCATCAGATGTGCATCACGTGCTGGCGCAGCTATGCACTGGCCAGGATGGAGGACCACACCTCGTGGTTGGACGCTTCGACCGCCATGATCCGCTGTGCCGATCCCAACTGCGGGGTGGTGGCACCAGACTCGCTGCTCCGCGAGGCGATGAAGCGGGGCGAGTACGATGCTCTGCTGGCGATGCGCTCCAACGCCCTGATCCGAAGCCAACCCACGCTCTCATATTGCCCGAACGCCGCCTGCGTCTCGCTCGTCTGCACCACGCGCCCCGGTGACGACCAGCCTCGTTGCTTCGAGGCCGCGTGTGGCGCGTGCGGAGAGCGATGGTGCCCGTCGTGCGGTGAGGAACCGCATTGGCCGGCTACTTGCGCCGAGTGCCGCGTCTTCAAGTCGCGCCACGGAGACGGCGATCGGCCGATGCAGATGCCGAGCGAAGGGATCAAGCCGTGCCCCAACTGCCACGCCCCAATCGAGAAGAATGGGGGCTGCCTGCACATGCGATGCTGGCAGTGCCGCGCTGACTTTTGTTGGGCGTGCGGGCAGACGAACCACGCACGGGGAGGGACATGGCACCCTTCAGGGGCGTGCACTCCCCACGCATGGGAGCAGCAGATCGCGGTGCGCCGTTTCTTCGAGTCGAGCGTCCCGCAATTCGAAAATCCGCTGCCGATGGCCTTGAACTTCATCGGGCTAAAGCATGCCGATGCGCAGCAGCTCTCGCTGATTCGGCGCGCCGTTGCCGCTGGAGCACACGCGGGCATTCGCAATTGGGAGGTGGTTGGGCCGCTCGCGCCAATCATCCAGCGCGCGTGGGCGGCCAGGAAAATCTCGGACGCGGCAATCGTCCGCGTCACAGAGATGGCTTACGAGAGCGCGAGAGCTCTGGCGAGCGCCTACATCGCCCTCACCGTCGCATCCGAGCGCACGAGCGAGCCGGTAAAGCGCGCTCGCCGAGCGGCACGTCGACTACTCACCTCGCCGGCGACACACACGTTCCGGGAGTGCGTGGATCGGCTAACCGTCGCGTCCACCGAGCTGCAGCTCCTTTTCGGGCAGCAGTCGCCCGACAATGAGCTGTGCCACCAGAGGGCAGGGGCGGCGCTTCATGCAATGAGGCAGCTGCAGCACGCTGCGGTCGAGTGGCGGAGGGCATCGGCTGATGAACGTTAGGAGGATCGCAACAAAATGCGAGCGACAAGCCCTAAAACAACCAACCAGTGCTGTCTGCTAGCTCGGCTCGGCTGAGACCGCGCGAGAGTCCCACTCCCTCACACCAGAGTGCAGAGACCAGTCCCGAGCGCGCGGCCGCGCGCTGCACCCTTTCGTGACTATATATATTGACTCGTAACTCGATGGCGGCCACTTGGGCGACGGGACGCTCGCGAGGTA